AAAAAAAAAAAAAAAAAAAAAAAAAAAAAAGAGTTTGTCAGAATGCTATAGCTTATGATTTTGGCTTTAGTTCTCCCGCACTATTAGTATTTATAATAATAAAAATAAAAAATAAAACATTATGTACTTTTAACATCCTAATCATTAATTAACACAAAATGCTTAATTGATTTTAATTCCTTTTGTCCATTCAATTGTCGCTTAAAACACTCTTATCTATATTTTTGTATATATAAAAATTCAATTATACAATCCAACTTAGAACTTATAAATTGGTGCAACGTGAATCTTAATTGTAATTAAATAATTAAGTGATCTAATAAGTAAAAAATTAAAAATTTAGACTCAATTTATTAATTATTTAGTTTTTTTCTTTTCAAATTTCTAATTTTGATTTTAAAATTTATAAATATTACTACACACAAATAATTAAATCCGAATTTTAGAATTTAAATAAAAGTTAAGAATATTTTAGTAAGAACTATGAAATTGTCAAAAACAAACGAATTTTTACAAAAAAAAATAATTAACTATATATATATATATATTGTCTGATATAATCTAAAATTTTCAAAATAGAATGAAGTAAAAACATTAAAAAAATAAAAAATAAAAATAAAAGAGTTGTGAATTGTATGGTCAGTAGTTAATTAAATGGCTTTAAAGGTCATATTCAAGAAATATAAGTGTTGTTTTGTTGTTTTATTATTTTTATTTTTTAATGGTCTTAATTTGCTTTAAAAAAAATATTAAATGATTTTTCTTTTACATTCAAAATAAAGTTGTTGATTTTGTTGAATTCTCGAGAAAGGAAAACAACAAAATTGAAATATTTAGATTTAAGTGTACCATAATTTTTAACCTTTATTTATTTTTATTTTTTTTACCATAGTTTCGTATGAAAACATTTTAAATTCTTTTTTAAATTCAAAAAGTACGTTTTAAAAATTTCAAAAGTGAAGTTGGATTCTAAAAAATATTTATAAAAAAAAAAACAAAAATTGGAATGATTTTGATTACACATATTCTATTTTATTACCCTATATAATAATTAATTATATTTATGATTAACATGAATTGTTTATGCAAAAAAGAAATTTTATTAATTTGCTATATTGCCACCATGTTAGATAATAACGATAATAAAATACATTATTTATTTGTCAATGATCTTATCCAAAACAAAGTAATGAATGAAAATATTAATATTCTTAAAAGATAATCAAGGGTAATTTTAATTTTTAGGACAATTTAGATCAATATTTACTTGAATAATAATAATAATAATAATAACTAAAATTGGAGGAATTGTTTATTTTATTTTTTAATGAACCAATTAGAATTGAGGAAAACCAAAAATTTAAATAAAAGAGAGTCAACCAATAAAATTTAAAGCTGCAACCAAAACAGTGTTATGATTAATAAATAAGAAAATTAGGATATAATAATTTAAAATAGTCGGTTTCAAGTGGTCTCGGAAGTAGCGAATTGGAGTCTCTGTATAATTAATAATTACGAAGGACATTATAGGAAGGACCAGAATTGTCTTTTCTTATTGGCTCATTCTTTCACTTTCCCTTCTTCTCAAAAATTCTCCTACTTCTCCCCGATCTCACTCACGCGCGTTATCCTTACGCGCTATCTTCTCTCTTCATAAAAACTCCAACCCTCTTCCCCTGCGTGCCCCCACCTTCCTCCTCCTCCTCCTCCTCCTCTTCCGCCGCCGTTGTGGACCCATTGTCTATACGTAACAGGTTGGAAGATTCCAAAATCGACTGGTTCTATCTTCCGTCGGTGCGGGAGCAGCTATTTCGGTGCATTTTGGTTGTCGGAGGCGGTTCCGATCAGTTACTCCATGGCTGAGTTGACTCAGCCTGATGTCTACTCGCTGAGGACTCTGCAGGTGTGGAAGACGTTGTTGAACTGGTTGGCTTTCTTCTTCCAGATCTTCGTTCAGATCCTCAGAGCTTTTGGACACCTTCGGCTTCTTTCTTCTTCTGATTCTGATTCTTCGTCTCCGTCTTTTAAGCCTTTGCCGGCCGTTGAGCTTCCTGATCATGAATTTCTTGCTGCCTCTGCCGTTGATATTTCCTCTGTTGAAGATGAGGAGGAGTCCGACGGGCTTATGGAGAAACTGACGGTATTGTGATTTTCTTGTTGATTTCTCGTTGTGAACATCGTTTCCCCCCCC